TAAATGTAACCAAACACTCATAAAGTGCTAATAAATCAACAAACCAAAATATACATAACAATATAGTGCTAATCAGAACCGTGATAACAACGTGGACAATACTAGTGTATGGGTCACCTTAGTGACCTAAAAATGGTGATAAACACACATAATAAAATAGACTTTGGTGTTAAGTGTCCTTGATAGCAATCAAAAAACCTTTTATAACAAGTACTAATAAGTCCATAAAGTAACAAGTGGTGATAAAACGTGATAAAACACCAGGCAATGTGTTAAACGTGAACACTTCATGCAAGTGCCGGCACACTTTAAATCCAATGCAGCTGCAGTGCCTCCTCACCTCCTTCCTGCGACCCAAAAGGGCCCAACAGGTATTCAGGATCACTCTGGATCCTTTATATCTCCGGCTAATACCTCTCCAGAAAGCCAAGGATCATAAACGGTCTCCTGTTCAGCCTCCAAACGCTTCCTCCTCTGCCTTTTATAAGGATACTCTGTAGGGTATATTACTCACAATCCCAGTGAGTGATAAAAAGATCCTCCATAGTGTAGTATTATTAATCATGCAGTCTTTATTTAAACATAGGAAGTACACTCACATGAACCTGCAGTCCCTTCCTCCTGCTATATGTGGGTATGCTGCATCCATGTGGTACTTCCTGGGTGTACTAAGATGGCGTCCTCCACCGGAAGTGCGTCACTCGTACCGGAAGCTGCGTATCGGCGTTACCTACGCGTTACGTCACGTGGTCTCGTGACTTCCTCGGGGTATCGCCAAGTAGACACAGCTGCTCCTTTTATATTGGCATTGGCGCATATCCCGCCTCCCAAGCTGATAAATGACACGAGGCCATTTTCTAGAAGGCTAAAAATGTAGATATGGCGCATACCTGGCCTCCCAGGCTAATAATTAGCCGTGACCATTGGATGGAAGCCAAAACAGTATTAATATATATATATGTTCATAATAAACTAACCTCCATACCCAGGAAAAAGACATTAGATCCAGCTAAAAACCCCAACACAGTCAGGATCCAAAATGATCACTAAAAAAACCTTTATTATTGAAACAACTCTAAATAAATTCTACTAATATTAACTATTTAAAAAAGGGGAATAAACCAGGTGGAAATAAATGTATTCTAACATATACACTCCCCAGAAAGATGAAGTGTATATAAGAATAAAAATAAATAACTATATACGTAAAAATATAAGTATACCCATATCGATGTAAAAAACTCAGAACACCTTTTGAAGACAAAAAATAATACCAAAAAAATATAAATAAAAAATATGTATATAAATAAAATAAAAATGACCACATGTGTATGCAATATACCCACACATGAACATAGATTGCTACCTAAATAAATAACATAATTCCATAAATACAATTACAATAAAAAATAAATAAAATATAAATGGAATATATAATAAAATGTATATAAAATATATAGACAGCCAACAATCTAAAAACTAAAATATTTATTAAAAATCACTGATAAAACAATTGAGATCAAACTCAACATTCAACCCTCTAGGGACCATAGTTTTCATATAATAAATCCAACGTGACTCGGCTTGGCTGAGGGATCTAATTTTATTACTGCCTCTCCAGTGTCTCTTACATTTTTCTATCCCCCAGAATTTGATATTACTGGGATCCTTGTTGTGATGTGTGGTACATTGCCTAGAGACATTGTGCTTAGGAACCCTTCCTAATGTTTTGAACGTGCTCCCTGAGTCTCTTCCATAGCGCTCTTTTAGTTCTGCCAATATATTGTAATCCACATTCACATTCTAAGCAGTATACTACCCCTCTGTTGTGCATGAAATGAAGTCTTTAATGATGAACTCTTGTCCAGTAGTATTAGCAATACAGTTCTTACGTCTGGTATTTGATCTTCTAGTGGCTATACAGGCGTAGCAATTTCTGCATGGGTAAAAACGTGACTTTATTCTGACTGGGAGGATCTAATACACTCTTAACCACCTTTGATTTCAACGTGGGGGCTTTTCTATACACAAATTTGGGAACAGCTGGTAAAACACCTCTTAAAATGGGGTCTGCCCTTAAAATACCCCAATGTTTGCTAAAAAAATTCTATTTTTTTGTAATGGATATTAAAATCTAAGATTATTGATAGGTTGTTCTCTGTATTCTCTTCTTTCCTATTATCTTGTAAGAATGTACTTCTATCCCTATTTCCCACTTCTACTATACTCCGGGTGATCATATCCTTAGGATACCCTTTATCCACAAATCTAGATCCCAACTTCTAAATAATCACTAACTAGGGTACGGTTCCTCCTGACTCTCACAAACTGACCCTTTGGGATATTAAACAACCAAGGGGGGAAATGACAACTCCCCATTGGTATATATCCATTACGATCCACACTTTTAAAATATGTTTTAGTTAAAAAATTTTCCATTTATAATTTTAATATTTAAATCTAAAAACTGTATTTCTTCCTTGCTATGTTCCCATGTAAGTCTGATATTCTTATTATTTTCATTCAATTTGTTTAAAAACTTCAATAAGGTGTTTTCCTCTCCTTCCTAAATAATAATCACGTCATCTATATATCTTTTACACACTTTTAACTCCTTCGGATACTCTTGATATACCTCCGTTTCTTCCCAGTGTGCCATAAATATATTGGCTACACTTGGTGCAAAGCGGGCACCCATTGCTACGCCCCTATTTTGTTCATAGTTGGTGTGCTCATGCCAGAAGTAATTGTGACTCAAACCAAATTCAAGACATTCCAATAAAAACTTTCTTTGAGTCCAAGGCAGATGGCTGTACTTCCTGAGCCCCCATCCAACTGCCTCTATAGCATCCTCATGCCCTATGATTGTATACAAGGAAGATACGTCCGCACTTGCTAAATAAATATTTTTCTTCCTCCTTTGAATTCCTCCAGCACCTGAATCAGATGTTTAGTATCATGTAAATATGCTGTAGTACTTTTTACCACTGGTTGCAAAAATTCATCTATGTAATGTCCCAATCTAGCCCCCACTGACTGTATGCCGTTTACTATGGGTCTGCCCGGTGGTTTTGTGGCATTTTTATGTATCTTCGGGACCGTATATTTTCCATTTTTTCCATGAGAAAGGACTAGAATTGGTCATGTTCCTACTCAAAAGGAAACAAAAAAAGTTGAGGAAATTAGAAGCACAAATTGGTGAAATGAAGGAAAAGACTGTACCATTTAAGGAAACAACAGAGCACCAGCGGCCTAGTACATCCTGGTCTTTCACATACCAGCACTGCAGTATCACTTGGTGATGTGGCAAGTCCCACAGGTGCAGTACAAGCTGGTGCAGTGGCGAGCACAAGTATTGTCCCAGCAGCCACCAAAAAGTTCGCACACAGGCCTGTAGAACCCATGGTGTCCTTCCGGATGTGCTTGCAAATCCCGATTAGCAGCCCACAAATTCTGCAGCACCCGTACTTCTCCCATTCACTGCCCAACTAGGAATTCAGGTGGAAACAGCAAATTTTAACTACTCCTATCACGTACCTGGTGATGGAGGCCAATGGAGAGAGGGCTTCCCTTGCGGCTAAGTTCCAGACTCCCCTGAAAGTGGGACAGCTGGCAGTCAGGCCCAAAGTTGCACAGGTCGCCTGTAGGAGTGCTGGTTGGTGGTCCACTCAGAAGCACAGCTGGTGCACGGAGATAGGTCTGCAGACAGGAGGCACCTGTGCGTGGTATGCAAGCCCTTCTGGGATTTGGATGTTTACGGAGTAGTCGGTTCAAGCTAAGGTCAGGTACAGGTGGAAATCAGAGCAGACGTAGTCAGATGGGAAAGCCTGAGGTCATACACAGAGAGCGAGAAAGAGAGTATCCGTAAGCCAAGCCGAGGTCAGGTCAGGGGTAAATCAGAGTAGACAGGTCCAAGGAGCAAGCTGAAGTCGGTAACAGGAGATCACAAGTCAGAAAACACAGGAACAGGGCATGGGGAGCTAGAGATCATCCAGCAACCAGAGGAAGTGATGAGCCTCCTTATAAAGGCCGTCTGGCACCAGACTGAGGCTGATGTATCCTTCTGCGGCCATGTAGAGTATTGGCAGAAATGCCAGATCTTCCAGAACTCCTTCCGTGGACAGGACCCTGACAACTCTCTTTGATTTTTGGAGCTGTTTTTTCACAGAAGATCTGTATGCATTGATTGTGGATCAAAGCAATTTATATGCAGAACAATTTATCGCCGCCAACCCAAATTCAAACCTTGCCAGACCATTCGCATGGAAACTCAATACGGTTTCCAAATTAAAACATTTTTTGGGCCTAACCCTCAACATGGGCATTACTAAAGAAAAATGAATTGCGGTTGTATTGGTCCAGAGACTTGATTCATCATATGCCGTGTTCTCTGCTGCCATGGCCAGGCATAGATATGAGAGTATAATGTGTTTTATGCATTTCAATGACAATACACTCTGTCCTCCTCGGGGTGACCCTGAATTTGACCGGCTCCACAAAATTCAGCCCCTCGCAAATCACCTTAACCAAAAATTTGCAGATGTCTATACTCCCCAGCAAAACATCTGCGTTGATGAGTCCCTCATTAATTTTTCTGGCCGACTTGCATTCAAACAATCTCTCCCCAGCAAGCGTGCCAGATATGGGGTCACGATGTAGAAGACCTGTGAGAGGACACCAGGCTATACTTATAAGTTTTGGATTTATGAGGGAAATGATAGTCACGTGGAGCCCCCTGGATGCCCAGACTACATGGGGAGCAGTGGACAAGATAGTTTGGGACTCGGTGTCATCCTTTTTCCATATGGGGTACCACTTATACGTGGACAATGTTTATTCAAGCGTGCCACTATTTAGACATTTGTACAATCTTGGAATTGGGCATGTGGCACCGTGTGACCTAGTGTGTGCCCACCATTAGAATTGGGTGGATGCAGGGCAGTATATTCCAATGGTGATCATACCACACACTTTTTCTGGCAGAGATTTCTTCTCTTTTTTCATTCAGTCCACAGACTGCATACAAAGAAAAAAAAAAGAACATAGCATATATACCCAAAAAGGACCTGTGACGTAGTGGTACATCCCTAGACTTTGAATGGTTATACCAGGATGAGGCCTACAGGTGCATGCATCATCCTGGTATCAATTTTTTCAGCCGGCGATCGGTTTTCATGTAAAAGCAATCCTAGTGGCTAATTAGCTACAGGATTACTTTTACAACTATGCCCCCCCCCCCCCCCCCCCCGCTGCCTTCCACGGCCTTCTCGGGCAGTCCCGTGCCATCGGGGGAACCTGAGAATGCAGCCAGTGTTTCTGCCAGCTGACCATAGAGCTGATTGGAGACCAGAGTGGTGCCAATCATCTCTATAGTCTAAGAATTCGGAATCTACGAGCATTTCATCACTTCAGTTTCGTAGGATATAAACAGCGCCATTTGTAAATTGGGAAAGCATCTGATCACCGATCTTGGTTTGATTGGATAATGTAAGGGCAGAGGAGATATCCAGAGTCTGATAGGCCCCAGATTTCTCAAAAAATAATATATGACAATGCCCATTGAAGTTATAGGGGATATTTGCAATTTCTGTGATAGCATTAAAAGTGATAAAAAAAAAATGAAAGAGACAGTGTAAAAATAATAAAAAAAATCAAAATAACTTACAAAAAAGTATCCTCACCCCCCCCCCCCCCCGCACCTGCGTTTGTGAGCGATGACCCTGTGCCAGTATGTAAACAGCGGTTGCACCATGCATGTGAGGTATCACCACGAACATCAGATCAAGGGCAGTAATTCTAACATTAGACCTCCTCTGTAAACCTAAAATGGTAGCTTGTAAAGGTTTTTAAAGCATTGCCTATGGATATTAAAAATGTATGCAGTTTGTCACCATTGCACGGGGCATGCACAGTTTTAAAGCATGTCATGTTTGGTATCTATTTACTCGGCATACCATCATATTTTATATTTTACCAAATAATTGGACAATATATTGTGTTTTTATGCATTAAAAGTAAAAAAACTGTATTTAAAAAAAAAATTGTGTTTGAAAAATTGCTGCACGAGTACAATGTGACATAAAAAAATTCAGTACTATGTGACATCCACCATTTTATTCACTAGGGTGATTGACAAACAAACTTTTTTTACACAAAATTGTCACTTAAATAATTTATTGCTCACACATGACATGGGTATATGTGGAATTACTCCCCAAAATGTATTTTGCTACTTCTCCCGAGTATGGGGATACCACATGTGAGAGACGTTTTGGCAGTCTTCCATGGACTCAATATGCCTCTCAGCAGACAGCTTAGGGTGTCTACTTTCCGAAAAGGGGTCATTTGGGGGTGTTTGTACTATCCTGGTATTTTAGCACCTCAGGAAATGTGATGGGCAGTCAGAAAGTATAAGTTGTGTAAATTCCATTATCTCTCCCATAGTCTGTAGATGCTATAACTATCACACAAAGCAATCAATATACACTTATTGGGATTATTTTTAACCAAAAACATGGAGCAGAATATTTTAGTATTTTTTAATATTTTTATGACAGAAATGAGAAAATGTCATTTTTTAAAAAAAACTTTTTTTGCAAAACTTTTTTCGTTTATAGCACCAAAAATAAAAATTGCATAAGTGATCAAATATCACTGAATTTCTATTTGTGTGAAAAAAAAAGGACATAAATTTCATTTATGTACCGTATTGCATGACCCGCGCAATTGTCAGTTAAACTAGTGCAGCGCTGTATAGCAAAGAAATGGTGTAAATTCCATTATCTATACCATAGTTTGTAGACGCTATAACTGTCACACAAAGCAATCAATATACACTCATTGGGATTATTTTCACTATAAACATGAAGCAGAATGCAGGACTTAAATTTTATTTGGGTGCAGCATTGCATGACCGCGCAATTATCAGTTGAATTAGTGCAGCACCGAGTAGCAAAAAGAGGCGTGGTCATTAAGGGGGGTAAATCCTCTGGAGGGCAAGGGGTTAAACATGTCCAGCAAAAAGAAAATAAAAATCAAATTTCATCATAAATTTCGGCCAAAAGTGTATTCTGCTCCGTGTCTTCGCTAAAATAAAATCCCAATCCTGTAAATGAATCTGTTTATGTGAAAGTTATAACATCTACAAATGGCGGGATAGATACTGGAATTGTATTTTTGTTACTAGTGTGATAGATATTTTGGGCCTACAATAATTTTTACCATCATTGTGAACTTTTGATAGAAGTCTCAGCCTCAGTTCCTGCAACTTCCCGAAACTGCACTTTCTAAGTGGACATTGACTGTATATAAGATTTCCCATGTGTTTTATCACCCCAACACCCCCCATGAAGGTTTCCTGTAGAGGTTTATGGCAGTATGGTCACCTAGCTGATGTAAGGAATAAGCCCCGGACCCGTCATTCCTAACACCTCCTAGAGAGTATTGTCATCCATCTTCCTGCAGGAACTGAATTCAGAGGAGGTACAATCAGC